TAATATTTATACCCAAACCCGGGAAACCCAGCCATGCAACACCTAAGTCCTATCGACCGATAAGTCTTACGTCCTTCCTACTTAAAACCTTGGAACGGATAGTCGATAGCATGGTTAAAAGCAGTATACCATACAAAGACCTTAAATAAAAGCAACATGCTTATGTAAAGGGACGATCAGTGGAAACCGCTTTAAACGAAGTCGTCCACTGCATAGGTGAATCTTTCGATAGTAAACTGCATACACTGGCGGTATGCATTGACATCGAAGGCTCTTTCAATAACGTGCACACTGATACCCTTATCCAATCCCTAGACCAGTTTTATGTTGACCGGGTGCTCCGTAACTGGATCAAATACATGCTAAGGAACAGATGGATAAGCTGCGAGATGTACGATATAACTATCAGGAAAAAGGTATTTCTCGGTATAACACAGGGTGGCATTTTGTCGCCTTTACTCTGGGTTGCCACGATTAATAGCCTCCTAAGGACCCTAACCGAGAAAGGACTTAGACCTGTCTGCTATGCAGACGATGTCGTAATACTTTTAAAGGGAAAGGATCCAAATTACTTGTGTAGAAGAGCTGAGGTGGCTCTGAATACGGCCTTGAGCTGGGCTCAACCGAGAGGCTTCAATGTTAACCCGGCGAAGACGGAAATCTGTATTTTCACAAGAAAGACAAAAATGTCTACATATACTGAACCTTGCTTCCTGGGCAAGAAGATACCGGTGACAGACAAAGTTAAGTACTTAGGTGTAATACTTGACCGGAAATTAAAATGGAGACACCACATAGAGGATAGGATCAACAAGGCACATCGGTGCTGGGCGATATGTAGGAGAACCATAGGCATGAAATGGGGTCTTAGTCCTACTGTGACAAATTGGCTTTATAAAAGTGTAAATAGACCAATTCTAGCTTATGCTTCAATAATCTGGTGGACTGCTTTGAACAAAAAGTGTAATATCAAACTACTACAGGGAGTTCAGCGTACATGCTGCTTGGGTATAAGTGGTGCCATGTGTACTACTTCAATCAAGGCTCTGGAAACGTTGCTAGATATTCCACCCATTGAAACATATTTAAGATATGAGGCGGCGCTTACAGCCGAACGGCTCTTTACTTTAGGGGAACTGGCCAAAAGCGGTTATAGGACAAATCATCAATGTATACTGGACACATTGGAAGGTTATACACATTCATCGGACGTGACTGATCGCATACCAGACACAGAATATGTCGGAAACTTTGAAACGCTAATCCCAGATAGAATGTCTTGGTCAAGCGGAACTTTGGAGCAAATACCAGTAGGAATCCGTTGCTACACGGATGGCTCTAAATTAGGGGACAAAGTGGGCCTGGGGTTCTATATTGAAGACCCAGAAACAGAAATATACCACCGTTTAGCTAATCATAACACAAGCTTTCAGGCAGAAGTCCGAGCAATAACGGAATGTGTAAATTGGATTAGAATAAATATGACGCCCACAGGGCTTAATATATTTACCGACAGCCAGAAGGCAATTAAGGCGATATCAGGTGATAGAATTAAATCTAAGACCGTATTGGATTGTAAGAAAGCTTTAACTGAATACTCTCCCAGAGGTAAGGTTTACATCACCAGGCCACTCGGGAGTAGTCGGCAACGAAAGGGCGAATGTAATAGCTTTAAAGGGAAGGGAGCTCGATGTAGTTAACCGGACAAACGCAAAACCATTCGACGCAACAAAAGCTGAATTAAAAATATGGATGAGAGAATCCCATAAGGCCTCTTGGAATAATGAAACGGTGGGTAGAACCACAAAGATTCTATGGGGTGACCCTGATGAGAGCAAGATGAGAAATCTCCTCAAAATGAGCAAGTCTGAGGTTAGTATGATGGTACGCATTCTGAGTGGACACACAGCATTACGGGCACATCTATACAAAATTGGACATGCGGATTCAGACGAATGTAGAGCATCTTTGCCACTTTCAGGCATTCGTCGAAGTTAGATCCAAGTATCTTGGAAGTGATGTTATTCCGGAAATAACATTCCTAACTAACACTGATTGGAAAATTCTTAGGAATTACGTCCAGGAAACTGAGTTTCTGAACATGGAAAAATAATACATTCAGTGAACAATTTTTTTTTTCATGAATTGGAACGCACAACAGGCCCGATAGCGGCCTAGGTGTATTTCTTCGGATTTTATGTAGTACACATCCTCCAATCAACCTAACCTAACCTAAATATCTCTTTACCAAATTTTATGTGGATCGGTCAATAATTGACCCTACCCCCATATAAGGTCCGCTCCAGATAATTACTTTAACGGTCATTACTGGCTTAAAAGTACGAATGAAGAGATAAAATTTGACATAAGTAAGTTTCTTCCGAGCCAAAACCTAAGAAATTTTTATATGAACGTAAATCTTCCTATCGAATTTAATGCGGAAAGTGCCGGGACCTGATATTCGATGTAAACATGTTTTATATAAACCAAAACAATATGAAGAGTGTTATGAAAAACGTTCAATAATTCACCCTACCTCTCATAAAAGGTCCTATCAGTAAATTTGATGAGTAATATCACCCGGATGTTTACATAAGAGCATTCTTTTACGGCATACGGTTTGATGGTGAGTATATTAGATTCGGCATAGCCGAATATAGCACTTTTACTTGTTAGTTTTTCATTTTCTGATCTTTTCTCCTTTTTAAAAGCTTTTATTTAACTTGCTTTGTTAGATGGTTCAAATTTTGCAACTGAATTTTAAACCAGCCCCCGTAGCCCAATTTGGCTGAAACTTGGTACACATAAAGACACCTGAAGACAATGCAATGTTATGTTCAAAAAACAGGTATAAAGAAGAATTAAATTTAATTTAAAATTAAATAATTTTAAAATATATATGTACACCCTATGGTTTTTGAATTGAAAAATGATTTGTGAATTTTTTTTTTTTTTTTCTGCCTAAAACATTTATTTATTTTATTTTATTTAACAATATTCAATAACCTAGCCTATAGGCCATAAGCGGTTACAAATTTCTACTTCACAAAAAAATGGAATTGGCAGATATTAAAATTTCAAAGCAAATTGGAAAAAATATTTGTTTGAATTTTCTTCGTTTGTGCTCAAACAAAAAAACTGAAACAGATAACAAATTATATAATACTTAAATAAAAAATCATAAAAGCCTCTTTTTAAATAATCTTGTTATCCGTATATACATATAAAAGAGTAGTGTTACTGACTGACTGATTCATCATCGCACAACCCAAACTGCTGAACCTAGAATCATGAAATTTTAACAGTAGATATGTTTTTGGTTATGTAGATCCATTAGGGAGGGATTTTTGGAAATTTGTACATTTAGGGGTAAAAAAGGAAAAAAAAACGGGTAAAACATGTTTTCTTAATTATATTACCTAATATTAGTGATACAAGAAAAATTTTAAATGTACCTGTATCTGGTACTTTTTTGAAATTCGTAATTTTAAAAGGTGAAAATATGTAACTTTATAACTTTTTAACTAATAAACAAAATAACATATTTGTAAATATTTTGAATATACATATCTCCCAAAATTAGGGGGCACCTGTTTCGTACTTTTTTAAAATTCCTTTTTGGGTGTAAAAGGGAGAAAACTGTATTTTTGGTACTTTTTTTAGCATATCAAGAAAATTTTTTTTATTTATTGTAGTACTCCTATTAAATTACGGACTAACTCTGTAATATTTATTGAAACAAAATGTTTTCTATTTCACTGGGGAAAAAAGTACCAAAAAGGGGAAAAACTGGAAATTTAATTTTATTCAAACTCATTGAGCCAATTTTTATAAAATTTGAAAAAGTAATTTATTTACTCACACAAGATAAGCTATTATATATTACTAAGGCCTATGAATTACCAAATTCCAGTAAATTGTTTGGTACTTTTTATAAGCACAATTTTTCTGGAACAAATGAATGCAGATTTGAATCTTTTGAGTTTTATCTGTGATATATAGATTTAAATACGGAACTTTTTGTAAACTTAATTCTCAAAAAAGTATATTTCTAAGCGAAAAGGGGAACATTGTACTTTTTTTATTAGTACTTTCCACTGAGGTAGAATTTATTCCACTTTTGGTACTTTTTCTTTCTTTAAACGATACTCTTTGTATGTTCTATAATATGAATTCAAAACACATGATTATTAAACATATACGGTCCTTATTGAATAAGATTCTTTCAGAACTTTTTAGTACTTCTTATGTCACAAATGGTACTTTTTGAATTTTCTAAAACATAAACATAAATTTTAACATACATGGTGTTAACTGAATAATATTCTGTAAGTGGGAACTATTTGGTACTTTTCCATTCTTCAATGGTACTTTTTGGATTCTCTATATGGTTAACCGAAACACATGACACACGGTCCTTATTAAATAAGAATTTATTGAGAGAGATGTTTGTACTTTTTCGTTTTTCCGATGGTACTTTTTGATATTTTTAAGATATTGAACATACTAGAAATATAATATTAACAAGTAAGAGTGTTATATTCGGCTATGCCGAATCTTATATACTAGGGAATGGTAAAACGACTTCGATTATGGTTATTAATCGATTATCGCTGTAAAAAGTCGACTATTTTGTGGTCGATTCTACACTACCAACTTTATACTGAAGTCGACTATTAGCATCGATTAATCGAAAATTCAACCCTGTTTAGTAATAAGCGTGGGTGTTTTACACTACAAAAAAATAGCGTGGGTTGTTTTACACTACAAAAAGCGAGTAGCATGATGTTTTATGTTGGCAGCCGTGTTGTAAACTGCGTAATAACCAAAGTGTTGTGAACTGCGTAAAAAGTGTGAGTTTTTAAACAAGTATATAAAAAAAGAAGTGTGTTAAAGCCAATTGCGGTGTTTAATTAAAAAGGCAATAAAAAATAATTATGCCTAGCCACGTCTGGCACTATTTTAAAAAAGTTTGTGCGGGGAAAAAAGCTAGGTGCTGCGTATGCAAAAAGGAATTGGCCTTTTGCGGAAGCACATCCAGAGGTCCCATAAAATTGTGACAAATAAAGGAAAGCCCCAATCTGAAGAAGACTTAAATGAAATAAATATATCGGATGAGGAGTCCAACCAAAATGAGGTAAGTGGAAAATACTGAAAAGTGAAGTGTAAAATATTGATTATACAAAAAATATAATATTTTTCGAAACATGTTGATTTTACGAAAAATATTTTTTTAAATATATTTTTTTCGAAAAAATATCATTTTTACGTAAAATATTGATTCTACGAAATATATAATTTTACGAAAAACATAATTTTTACGAAAAGTATAATTTTTAAGAAAACATAATTTTTACAAAAATATAATTTTTAAGAAAAATGTATTTTTTCAAAAAAATAACATTTCAAAAAATATCTACGAAAAAATATATTTTTTACGAAAAAAATATAATTTTTCGAAAAACAATTTTTATGAAAAATATTGATTCTACGAGAAATATAATTTTTACGAAAAATATTGATTCTAAGAGAAATATCATTTTTACGAAAATATTGATTCTACAAGAAATACAATTTTACGAAAAACAGAATTTTTTCAAAAAATATCACTTTTAGGAAAAATATTGATTCTACGAAAACTACCATTTTTACGAAAAACACAATTTTTTCGAAAACTGTCATTTTTTCGAAAAATATTGATTCTACGAAAACTATCATTTTTACGAAAAACACAATTTTTTCGAAAACTGTCATTTTTTCTAAAAATATTGATTCTACGAGATATATCATTTTTACGAAAATCACAATTTTTTCGAAAACTGTAATTTTTAGGAAAAATATTGATTCTACGAGAAATATAATTTTTACGAAAATCACAATTTTTCGAAAACTACCATTTTTTCGAAAAATATTGATTCTACGAGAAATATCATTTTTACGAAAGTCACAATTTTTTCGAAAACTATCATTTTTAGGAAAAATATTGATTCTACAAGATATATCATTTTTACGAAAATCACAATTTTTTCGAAAACTATAATTTTTTCGAAAAATATTGATTCTACGAGAAAAATAATTTTTACGAAAAACACAATTTTTTCGAAAACTGTCATTTTTTCGAAAAATATTGATTCTACGAAAACTATCATTTTTACGAAAAACGCATTTTTTTCGAAAACTGTCATTTTTTCGAAAAATATTGATTCTACGAGAAATATAATTTTTACGAAAATCACAATTTTTTCGAAAACTGTCATTTTTTCGAAAAATATTGATTCTACGAAAACTATCATTTTTACGAAAATCACAATTTTTTCGAAAACTATCATTTTTTCGAAAAATATTGATTCTACGAGAAATATCATTTTTACGAAAAACACAATTTTTTCGAAAACTGTCATTTTTTCGAAAAATATTGATTCTACGAAAACTATCATTTTTACGAAAAACGCAATTTTTTCGAATATTGATTCTACGAAAATCACAATTTTTTCGAAAACTATCATTTTTTCGAAAAATATTGATTCTACGAGAAATATAATTTTTACGAAAATCACAATTTTTCGAAAACTACCATTTTTTCGAAAAATATTGATTCTACGAAAACTATCATTTTTACGAAAATCACAATTTTTTCGAAAACTATCATTTTTTCGAAAAATATTGATTCTACGAGAAATATCATTTTTACGAAAAACACAATTTTTTCGAAAACTGTCATTTTTTCGAAAAATATTGATTCTACGAAAACTATCATTTTTACGAAAAACGCAATTTTTTCGAAAAATATTGATTCTACGAGAAATATAATTTTTACGAAAATCACAATTTTTTCGAAAACTGTCATTTTTTCGAAAAATATTGATTCTACGAAAACTATCATTTTTACGAAAAACACAATTTTTCGAAAACTACCATTTTTTCGAAAAATATTGATTCTACGAAAACTATAATTTTTACGAAAATCACAATTTTTTCGAAAACTGTCATTTTTAGGAAAAATATTGATTCTATGAAAAATATCATTTTTACGAAAAACGCAATTTTTTCGAAAACTCTCATTTTTTCCGAAAAATATTGATTCTATGAAAAATATCATTTTTACGAAAAACGCAATTTTTTCGAAAACTGTCATTTTTTCGAAAAATATTGATTCTATGAAAAATATCATTTTTACGAAAAACACAATTTTTACGAAAAATATGATTTTTTCGAAAAATATCATTCATTCGAAAAGTATAATTTTTATATAATTTTTTACAAAAAATATTGTTTTTACGAAAAACATGATTTTTTAAAAAATATGTTTTTTTCGAAAGATATATTTTTTTTAAATATGATTTTTTTCGATAAATTTGATTTTTTGGAAAAATTCATTTAAAAAAAATACAAAAACAATTTTCTCTAAAAATTCAGATAAAATTTTTAGTGAAATTTTATTTTTCGTGAAAATTACATTTTAAAAATCGATTTCATTACATTTTTAGTCACAAATTATAAATCAGTCTTCAACAAAAACAACAAATGTTTCTGCCGAGAAGCCATCGACAAGTAACCATGCTGAAAGTAGCAGCCCCATAATAAAAATGTTTCAAAATGCGTCTGCATACTCAAGTATGTTAATAAATAAAAATCATTGAAAATTTTATTTATATTTATAAAAAAATTTTAGAAGGGGGAGAGAGGACATCAACTGTAAATGATGCGCTTCTCTATATGATTGCGGTTGATAATATGCCCTTTAGCGCCCCCGAAAAACGAGGTTTCAAGAAATTTTGCAAAGTTATTCAGCCCCTTTACAAAGCTCCTTGCCTCAAAACCAGGGAAAACATGATGCAATCGAAATATCAGAAACTCAAAAGTGAAGTTTTTGATCAATTAGGTGCTGCAAAAAATATCGTTCTTACAACCGATTTGTGGACTGAAATAATGACCGTTAAAAGTTTTTTGGGCGTCACTGCACATTACATTGATGGTAAGATTTGTATAGCTCTCTATTTAAATTGTTAATTAAGATGTAATAAATTATTAAAATCTGTGGATATTGGGGCGAGGCATATTGTTGGCAAAAAAACTATCTCTAATTTAGAATTTGCCATAAATGAAATATGTAAGTCATGGAACATCAAGCAAGATAATGTGGCGGCTGTAGTAACGGATAATGGTCCAAATATTGTAGGGGCATGTCGTTCCGTTTTTGGAGCAGACAAGCATATACGTTGCTTTGCTCACACCCTCAACCTAGTGGCTATAAAATCAATCGATTTTTATACGCCAAACATAGAGGCTGAATTGCCGGTTATGGAAAATTCTGATGAAGATGAAATAAGTGATGAAACTGGTCATTCAGAATTAAAATCAATTATAAATAAAATTAAAAAAATTGTTTGCTTTTTCAAGAAAAGCGAGGCAGCAAGCACATACTTGAATGACCTTCAAAAAGAAAGTGGCAAGCAACCAAAAAGGCTTATCCAGGAAATTAAAACACGCTGGAACTCGTTGTATGAGATGGTGGAACGGTATTTGGAGTTGCACGAATTTGTGAGCAGGGCACTCCGAAAACTAATTTCTGAAAAAACATGCAAGCCACCTAACGATATATCGTTGGACGAAATAGAAAGTTTAGTTGAAATAAAGGAACTTTTAAAACCTTTATTTCTCGTAACAAAAGAATTATGTTCTGAAAAAAACGTAACAGCGAGCAAAGTAATTCCTTTACTTAAATTGCTGAAAAACGTAAGTTTATTGCATCAATGATCATATTTTTCAAAATTCTATTTATAAATCATATATTAATAATCATTTTTCAGAGGTTTATTTCTTAATATATTCTAATTTTTAGTAATATAAACTTTTAACAAATTAAAAAACTCATAAAAATATTAATTTTCTTAACAGAATATTGAAAATATATTGCCAATAGGAGCAGCATTTGACTTGCGAAGAAAACTTCTACTCAATCTTAATGATAGATTTTCAAAAGTTGAGGAGCACCCAATACTTAGCGTTGCCACATTGTTGGATCCTCGTTATAAAAAAATTCACTTCCACCAAGAAAGTAATGTTGAAGCGGCGATTGGTAGAATAGGTAGGTTACTTTTAAAATATAAAACCCATACTTATTTTTAACTCTGTTTTCTTTTATTTACTAGCAAAATATTTAGAAAAAATCAATCAAACTTCAAATGATGAACCTCCTCCTCCTCCTCCCAAAAGATCACGTGATTCTAATTGTTTATGGCAAATACACGACGATCTAGTGGATTCTCAAAATGAGACGATAATTGTGAATGAGGATAATATTTAAAACGCCCAGTATGCCCTAGACATACTAATCCAATCGAAGAGTGGGAACAGTACAAACAAGTTTACCCAAACTTGTACTTAATTGCCCAAAAATACATTGGAATTTTAGCTACATCAGTCCCGTGCGAAAGATTGTTTCGAAAGCTGGGTTAATTATAACCCAGCGAAGAAACAGACTGTCCTCAGAAAATCTGGATCAACAATTATTTTTACAAAATATATCGGAAGAAGACTGGTTTAAGAAATAGAAAAGGTAATTCCTAAATGATAAAAAATATATAAAAATTTTGGAAAACGCTTAATAAATTTATTTCTGGTTTATTGTAGGATTTTTATATGTTATTAGCCATTGATACGGGGATAAAAGCATAATCAAACAAAAAACACAAAGTACAAACAAAAAAGATATTTTTAATTAAGTAAATATGTATTTAATTATTTTTTCTAAAATATTACAAAAAAAAAACTTTTTTTAATAAAAAAAATAAAATACATAAACGAAAGTACAAACAAACAAGAAGTATAAACAAAAAAATAGTTATTTTAAGAAATCAAAAATATTGAATTAAACTAAAGTACAAACAAAAACAAACAACCAAAAATACAAATAAAAAACAATTTTTAACTAAAAAATGGAAAAAAACTAAAATATTCAAATTTGTAAAATATTGTATAAATCAAATTACAAAAAAAAAAACAATTTTCTAAAATAAAAAATGTAAATATTTAAAAAAAAAAAAAAACATAAAACACATACACAAAAGTACAAACAAACTAAAAGTATAAACAAAAAAATTGTTTTTTTTTAATTAAGTACAAACAAAAACACCAAAAATACAAACAAAAAAACATTTTTAACTAAAAAATGGAGAAAATAATATATTCAAAATTGTAAAACATTGTAATAAACAAATTACAAACAAAAACAATATTTTTTAAATAAAAAATTAAAATATGTATTAAAAAAAAATAATACATAAACCAAAGTACAAAAAAAAAAAACTAAAAGTATAAACAAAAAAAAACAATTTTTTAATTAAAAAAGTAAATAACTTTAATAAATTAAAATATAATGAAATTAACCAAAGTACACACAAAATCATTAAAAAATGCAAACAAAAACAATACTTTTTAAATGAAAAATGTAAATATTTAAAAAACTAATATGTATAAAAACTTTATCAAAATTATATATTTATATAAACTTTATATATTATTTTTTTTTAATATTTACATTTTTTATTTAAAAAATATTGTTTTTGTTTGCATTTTTTAATGATTTTGTGTGTACTTTGGTTAATTTCATTAAAAAATATTCAAAAATAATATATTCAAAATTGTAAAACATTGTAATAAACAAATTACAAACAAAAACAATATTTTTTAAATAAAAAATTAAAATATGTATTAAAAAAAATAATACATAAACCAAAGTACAAAAAAAAACTAAAAGTATAAACAAAAAAAAAACAATTTTTTAATTAAAAAGTAAATAACTTTAATAAATTAAAATATAATGAAATTAACCAAAGTACACACAAAATCATTAAAAAATGCAAACAAAAACAATACTTTTTAAATGAAAAATGTAAATATTTAAAAAACTAATATGTATAAAAACTTTATCAAAATTATATATTTATATAAACTTTATATATTATTTTTTTTTAATATTTACATTTTTTATTTAAAAAATATTGTTTTTGTTTGCATTTTTTAATGATTTTGTGTGTACTTTGGTTAATTTCATTAAAAAATATTCAAAAATAATATATTCAAAATTGTAAAACATTGTAATAAACAAATTACAAACAAAAACAATATTTTTTAAATAAAAAATTAAAATATGTATTAAAAAAAATAATACATAAACCAAAGTACAAAAAAAAATAAAAGTATAAACAAAAAAAAAAAAAAACAATTTTTTAATTAAAAAGTAAATAACTTTAATAAATTAAAATATAATGAAATTAACCAAAGTACACACAAAATCATTAAAAAATGCAAACAAAAACAATACTTTTTAAATGAAAAATGTAAATATTTAAAAAACTAATATGTATAAAAACTTTATCAAAATTATATATTTATATAAACTTTATATATTATTTTTTTTAATATTTACATTTTTTATTTAAAAAATATTGTTTTTTGTTTGCATTTTTTAATGATTTTGTGTGTACTTTGGTTAATTTCATTAAAAAATATTCAAAAATAATATATTCAAAATTGTAAAACATTGTAATAAACAAATTACAAACAAAAACAATATTTTTTAAATAAAAAATTAAAATATGTATTAAAAAAAATAATACATAAACCAAAGTACAAAAAAAAACTAAAAGTATAAACAAAAAAAAAACAATTTTTTAATTAAAAAGTAAATAACTTTAATAAATTAAAATATAATGAAATTAACCAAAGTACACACAAAATCATTAAAAATGCAAACAAAAACAATACTTTTTAAATGAAAAATGTAAATATTTAAAAAACTAATATGTATAAAAACTTTATCAAAATTATATATTTATATAAACTTTATATATTATTTTTTAATATTTACATTTTTCATTTAAAAAATATTGTTTTTGTTTGCATTTTTTAATGATTTTGTGTGCACTTTGGTTAATTTCATTATATTTTAATTTATTAAAATTATTTCATTATATTTTAATTTATTAAAATTATTTACATTTTTTAATTAAAAAAATTGCTTTTTTTGTTTATATTTTAAAAAATCAATAAAAATCAATTATATAATCAAACTAAATAACGATTTGAGGTTTTAATTGGAAAATAAAATTGAATTGCATTTATTTAACTTTTTACTTTTACTTTTAAATAAAAAATAACTTAAAATTATTTTTTGTAAATATTTGATTTTTAATAATAATTTAAATTTTTTATAAACCAAAGCATTTACATTTTTTGTAATAAATGTTTTCTTCATGATAATAAAAAATTAATTTAATAAAAAATTTTTTTGTAAGAAACCGAAACATTAAAAACATTTTTAATCAATTTTAATTTTCTATAAAAGTAAACAAAATTTTGCATGTATTTAATTTTGGTTAGGGTAGCGAAGCACCCAGGGTATGCTAGTTAAGAATATAAAAATGTATTAATATATTTCTATTAAATAGTTTTCGTCAATATGGGTATCAAATTAGAGAGGACAATCTACGGAAATCAAAATTGCATTTTGTTTTTTACTTTTCAGGGGGAAAAGGTGTTAATAATGTCTTTTGAAAATTTCATTCTTTTATATCCTTGAGAATTTTCAATATATTTTTCTCCAAAATGCACTAGTAGTTAGTAAAGTCGCTAAGAAAAGATATTATTACTCTAATATTACAAAATTAATTTCTTTTTAGAAGGGGGGGCCATACTCGGTCTCAAATTAAAACACAAAATACATATTCTTAAAAAGAATAAGCTTTAGCTTTACCTCTTATAATCTTTCCTAAGTCATCCTCATGTACATATTTTTAACTTTTCCGCATTGAGCAAAAACGGCGATACCACCCCAACCATGTTTTGTCATTAGTAAAATAAAACCAAAAATTGCAAAAAAAAAAACATATTTTACTGTTTTACAGTTGTATTCATAAAAAATGCTTATTTTAGATTTAAATCACACAATAGTTAAAGTACACTTTAGACTTAAAAGCCATTAATAAAATTGTGGTATTCATAAACAAATAATAAACCTACATTAACTATTGTGCTGTTAATTGTTTAACTTGGCAGCACTGTACAATTTGGCTGTCATTTTCTGTGTTAGTGTTGCGTACAATTAGGATAAAATATTCGTTGATTCGGTTTTCTTAATTTTATATTTTTGGTTATAACACATTTTTGAAAATAAAAACGAACTTTTAAGAAAAATAAATGTATACATGGCTACAATAAATATATATTTAGTTCAGATGAATGAATATAACATATATTTTTTTAATTATAATTAAAAGTATTCGAATAACGAATATTTTGTAACAAAATAAACATCACTATGCACATTTTGTTATTTTTACTTATTTTTATAGCAATTTTTAATAAATTTTTGCAAATACTGATAAATTTCTTTGATAAAAGACTACATTTTATTGCCGGAGAAGATATTTTGCATTGATAGAATACTAATCAATATAATTTACACTCTTAATTACTTCATGGTTTTATATTTAGCGAATAAACTATGAAAAATACAAATAAAATGATTGTGGCCATGATTTGATTGACAGGCGGGGCATTTCCAAATTGCCAAAAATAGTATTGACCAACTGGAATATTGTCAAATATTCATCTATTAATCCAATAATGCCTAGATTTTAGTTTTTCTTCCACCAAAATAGAAACTTTTAAAATTTATCTGGAATTTCATTTAAAAATTTGTAAACGTTAAAATTACAATTTTTAGATTTCATTTCAGAATAAAACATAACTTGTTTTCGTCTTCAACCTAAAATTAACGAAAAAAGCTTAATCAGAGACAAAATTTGTAAAAAATCAACTTATTGTTGGCTTAAAGTAGGGGCGAGCGTACAATAAATTTTTTCTATTTGTCATTGGTTTATTGAAAGTATTTTAAGCTATCTGGCGTTTATGAATACCATTTTCGTGGATTTTGCCTAATAATGTTTAATAAACCTAAAACAACTTTTTATGAATACAACCGTTATACTTTAATTCATTAAACAAAGCAAACTAAACCAGATATTTATTGTTTATTTCACATAACTTAACAAAAAAAAAAAAATAAAACAAATCATTACTGATTTTTTACATATACTTGGCGAATGTGACCCACGAACATTTCTGGGGTTTAGAGTCCATTTTTTTCGGCTTCAATTTATGTTATCGAAAAAATTATTATTATATCTTATTGTTCACTATTACAGCACAAAAAATTCACACAGTGAAATATTTTCACAGCCCTTTGAAAAACAATTAATCACGTCTGCCTACCATCATATGTAAAGTTAATCTTACAAACTTTCAGGGATGATAGATAATCGATAAACGAAAACTAAATTTGATATTGTGATAAAATCGATTACTCGGTTTTCAAGTGATCCCCCTCCTACCCTAATAATATAATTTTTTACGCCTTAAATAATAAAGCTATAGATATAAATTTTAACCTATATTTATTAAAAAAATAAAAGGGAAACTCCCAAGGATATGAAAGGATGAAATTTTCAAAGGATATTATATAAAATTTTTCGTCCTGAAAAATAAAACAATAAATATATTTGATTTCCGGCGATTGTCATCTTTCATTTGATACCCGGAGATTGCAATCTTTCATTTGACTAAAACTATTCAGTAAATATGTTTTAATAAATTTGTACGTCCTTAAAACTTTGAAGTCCTTTAAAAAGGAGAAACGATCAGAGAAATATAAACTGTAAACGCAGTTTCACTTCAAATGGCCTCAAGTATC